GTAGCCTCCGGATCCATGGACAAAAGTTTGGCTACTTCAAACGAATTAGTTTCCACTAAGATCTGTGTTATATTCCTCTTCTGAACAAGCTCCAGTCCCTTGGAATAGCCCATAGCTTTGCTTGTAAGCTCATAGTATCATCAATTTTCCCATAGAAGCCAACAATCCATTTTCTTTGATCATTTCTAATAATTCTTCCCACTCCTGCTGGACCGGTATTACCTTTGGAGCATTCGTCCGTGTTCAGTTTATTCCAACCTGTTTGGGGGAAAGACCATGCAATAAGTCTAGAAGAGGCATTAACATAATCAACACTAACATTTTGAAAGGCTTTAGAAGTATTCCAAGCAAGAAGCCATGCTTCCCTAGCAACAATTCTTGGTGATATCAAAATTTTTGAGATACTTTCCCTATTCCTATCTTTCCATATACACCATGCAATACATACACACATAACAAGCCAATTAATTCCTTTCTAGTCCTTGATCTTTCTGATCTTGAAATTAGATTAATCCAATCTTGTAACTCTCCCAGCTGAGCAGTTTCCTCCCCTTGGGATAGATTAAATAATTTCCAAACTCTTTGAGCTTTTGGACAACAAAGATAACATGCAATGAGGTTTCATCAAAGTATTGGCATCTAATGCAAGTAGCCTCACTAAACATGTTTCTTGAGGCTCTAAGATTATTAGTGACCACAAAAATTGTTTCAGCTTTTGGGGAAGACTCATTTTTTAGATCCAATTCTAGTTAAGAGAAGGAAGACTGTTTGGATTGGACCTAGAGAGGAGTTCAAAGGCTGCCTTTGTTGAGAATTTTCCATTACAAGAAAGACCCCAACAAATGGTATCCTAAAACTCAATAGATAATGGACAGCGAGTGCGTAAAATATCGAGCAAAGTGGAGTGAGGAAGAAGAATATCTGCCTCTTGAAGATTTCAGTTACCTTTATCATCAATGAAGTCAGCCACCTTTTTGTTGAGATTCAAATAAGCTGTATGAGTAACCTGCTGCACTAGAGGGCCATCTCCCCACCACCAATTAGTCTAGAAATTAATATGTTTACCATCACCAATCAGCCATTTAGATCCTAGATCCACTAAGTTTTTAATCTTTCCAATTGCTCTCCAAGTTGGTGAACTAGCAAGCTCAACCTTCCAATTAAAATGCTCCTGATCAACATATTTATTATTGACCACTTTAGCCCAGGGTGCTTTATCTTTGTTTTTCACTTTCCAGCCCAATTTAGATAACAGGGCCAACTTATTATCCCTACTATTTCTTAAGCCCAGCCCCCTTCATTTTTAGGAGAGCACACCCTATTCCAATTCACAAGGTGAATCTTTTTCTTTTTTGGTGTGTCTCCCCCCAAACAATTCCAATTAAGTCCGTCAATCTGGTCACAAGTTGCTTGAGGGAGCCAATTAGTTTGCATAACATGATTAGAGAGAGTGGAAGTAACAACCTTAACAAGAGTGATTCTACCAGCCAAGGAGAGAATTTTGGCTTTCCACCCACTAAGTCTATTTTGTATCTTCTCTATGATGAATTTAAAGTGATCCTTAGAAGATCTTTTATGAAAGATTGGAATACCTAGGTATTTTCCTAGGTCATCTGTGAGGGTGACTCCACATTTTTTGCTAAGAAATAAAGCATGACTTTTACTTATGGTAGGAGAGAAGTAAATCTTAGACTTGTTCAGACTAATTTTCTATCTTGATATCGAATAGAAGTCTTTAAGCACATATTTGATCATAAGATAATCTCTTTCAATAGCTCTATAAAATAGAATAATGTCATCAGCAAAGAGTAATTGATTGATTAGTGGTCCCTTTCTAGAATCTTTTCAATATCTTCATTTACCTACTTGGACTTTTTTTTAAATTAATTGTCCTAGTCGTTCCATACACAAAACAAAGAGATAAAGGGATAAGGGATCCCTTGTCTCAAACCTCTTCTAGATTTGATAGGCTCTAGAGGAGAACCATTCTATAAGATGGAAATGATTGACCCTATAATACAACTCATGATGATATCAATCCAAGACTGTGGGAAGTTAAAATCAGTCAAAGTTTTATATAGAAAATTTTAGTTAACTCTATCATAAGCTTTTTTCAGATCAATTTTAATAACCATTCCCCCAATCTTTCCTTTTTTCCTCTTTAGGGAGTGGATAATCTCTTGTGTTATTATAACATAATCTATAGTTTGTCTGTTTGGGATAAAACTACACTGGTTAGGACTAAGTCTCAATACTAGAAGCTCTGTCAAGATTTAACAAAGGAGTTGTTAAATCTGAAGTTACCTCATCTCATTGGGAACACTATGGTATCATTTTTTTTTATTTTTTAATATTGTATTAAAAAAAATAAAAAAAATCCAAAAATAAAAAATTTTACTTCAAAAATTGATAAGATTCACTCAGAAAATTAGTAAGTGAATCCAAAAAAAATTAAATGAACTCAAAAGGTGAGGGCATCCTAAAATTAGTAAACTCCCCAAAAATAAATAAATCACACATTACCGAGACTTATTTTTTTTGAGTCCTGTTGTCCATATGACGTCAGCCCTTACCTCGGCAGTTGCTAGAGTTCGTCATCCACGCGTGGCTAAATTGTCATCACTGGCCAACCCTTTACCCAATCACCGAGACGTCGATTTTATTTTTCTTAAAAAGGTTGGATAAGTCGATAAGATTACTGTACTCCTAAATACAAAGGAAAAGTCTACGGTATGAATTTTTTTTTTTTTTTTGATATTATATCACTGATTATAATTGTTTATAGTAAAATTATACATTTAAAAAAAATTATAATTGCTTAACCAAAGATTATGATTGATCACAGAAATTTACAATCGATTTGGGGATCTTATTTGGGGATCTTAAGGTACCCAAACAAAGTCCAAATAGCATTTCCCTATCAGAAGAGCAATGATAACGTTGTTAGGATGAGCACACTATAATATTTTTAGGGCTCGTTTGACTGTCGTATTAAAAATGAATGGATTAGATAAATTAATATAGACTAATACAATACAGATGAATAAAATACAAGATTAAATAGTGTATTAGAATAATGCGTAATTTTATCTTGTGTTTGACATACACAACATAAACATTAGATAATAGTTATTTAGTGCAATCCGTTGTTTGGTTATAGAATTATTTTATCGTATTAATGTTAAATCTATACTACTAATAAAAGTACACTATCAAGAATTTTTTTTTTTTGACTATTTTATCCCTACAAGAAAACATAATCACAATATTAACCATATTTAATGTAAAACTCTTTTAATAAAACTTGATTAACATCAAATTTTGTTGGATTAATTTACTCTTAAAATAAAGTATAAATGCAATACTAACCTTATTAATAAGAAATTCATATTAATACAAATTCATTAGTGTATACATATTTAAGATTATAATCTAACTTTTAAAGGGCAAGTTTAACTGTTAAAAAGAATTAGACTTATTTTTATTAGCTGATGATCAAACTATGAATAAAGACACGTTGAGCTTTATTTATTATAGAATTTATTTTGATGTATCCTTAATAATACTATCAAACCCCTACTTTTCATCCATTTCTATTTTACAATTTTAGTATCAATGCATCCTCTTATTCGTAACACTAGAGTAACGTTGTTTTTACTTTTTTTTTTGTTGGATGATGATTACTACTAATGTTTGTTGGATGATGACTACTATGAATGTTCATGATTAAATTGATCTATTTATTGCAACCAACTTAATTACTTATTTCATTTCTACAACTTAACTTTCTTTTACAATTCAATAAGTGTTCGTATTTTTGTTTAGTTGTTATATAAATATATAACATCATATCATGAAATATATTTGTATCATTGCAATGATATTGCAAATATAATTCATGCAAATTATTAGTTTCATGTTAAAATTTCTAAATCTTAGGAGATAGGTTTATAAGAAAATAATAACTCAAAACTGTAGGAGTTAATCCTAAAAGAAATAAAAACTAATATTCTTTAAGAAAACATTCCAGTATAAATTGTAGCAAGTTTACCACATTGTTTAATTCATAAGTATTTATAGGCTGTTATATTTACATCATTGTTTCAAACAATTACAAAAATAAAATTGAAACAAAAATTATAATTTAAAATGATTCATGTGCAAAGCACGTGTGCATGATCTAGATAAAAAAACATCAAAATGATCAAGTTTATTCATTAAGTTAAAAAAATTCATTTAGTTAAAAAAAATCCATTAAATTAAAAAAAATTTTAAAAAAATCATTAAGTTAAAAAAATTCAATTGAGTTAATAACAGTAATAATTAATTGACAATAATATCAATAAAAATACCATAAATCAAAAAAATAAAATTTTATTCGAATCAATGCATTTATGTGAACCATTGTCAAAACCATTATAAACCCAGATAACAACTCAAAACAACAGAGATTTTCAAAAATATTTTAGCGTTTAAAATGAAATTATGCAATATTATTAAAAAATGGAACTTTTTTTTTTTTTTTTTTTGGTTTGGTCAGAAAAAAATGGCATTTTCTGGAAAAAGGAAACGTGGCACAAGTCACATTTTATTTAAAAATTTAACTTAACATTTTGATTTAATAAAGCACAATTATTAAATAAGTGATGAATTTCAATAAATATTGAGACTTACGGTTTTAATGATTCGAAAACATTATTTGAATTTAAAATATCAACTTAAAATTAATAATCGTGATTATTAAGTGCACTTTTTAAATATACTTTTTCGGTGGGGAACATTGCTCAAGAGTATTTTAGCTTATTGCTTGCGTAGAGGGAACGGCTGTGGGAAGTAAAAAGTCAAAGAAAGTAGAGAAATTAACAAATATAAATTTAAAAGCTGTGTTCCTCTATAAAGACCACTTCACCATTCCAAATGCGAATCAGTCCACTCTTGCCTTATCTCAAGATTCTCAGCACACACACACAGAGTTGAAGAAGCTTGAACGAAGAAAGGAAATGGCAATCACAGTGCCTAGAATAAAACTGGGTTCACAAGGTTTTGAGGTATCAAAACAGGGACTGGGCTGCATGGGATTGACCTTTAACCATGGTTCTCCCAAGCCAGAAGAGGAAATGATCAAACTCATCCACCACGCCATCAACACCGGCGTCACCTTCCTCGACACCTCCGATATATACGGTCCCCACACCAACGAACTCCTTGTTGGCAAGGTATTTTTCTCTATTTTGCTTCAATCGACAACAAAATCGATGTTTCAGAAATCGGTTTTTAGATGTTCTATGGGTGTTCATAACTAGTCCGCACAGCACACTCATAGCTTGCTTGGTATGAGGGAAAGATAGATGGATGAAAAAAGGAAATAAAGATACATTTTTCTTTCTTTGGTCAGCACCCTAATTTTAATCGCTCCAAATTCAGACCAAACCGAGAGAAAAGTGAAAAAGTTTGACTTTTTTTTTTTTGGAAGATAAAATGATTCTATTGATACAAAAAGACAAGATACAACATGGTGAATTCCCTTACAAACAATAGGAATCACCTATTAAGAGCCAAACTATAGAATTTTGGGGGAAGTGAGGATGATTGTCCAGACTTCCAACAAAATGCATTAGTGAAGAGAATAGTCCAAACAACAATTGGGAGATTAGAGTGAGGGATGTGCTGGAAGCATAAAAGTAGATTCAAGTATAGAGTATACCTGGGAATCTTGTTCATTTTGGGATGGAGGCAAAACCTCTAAGAGATTTTGAGTGATTTGCTGCTCTTGTGCTTGTGTAGAGGTTATGGGATTGGCATCTGCAATAGCACTAATTGTAGGGAGTTCAGGAGAAACAAACTCAACTGTGGAAATAATGGATTTCTCCTTCGCACTTCTGGAATCTTCAGGCTTCTGTGGGAGGTTTTTAGGTTTCCAAGCGGTAGTGGTAGCGATAGCCATCTTGGGACAAGTGGTGTCAGAGTGACCAAATATTTTGCACGAGTGGCAAGTTTTTGGCCTCCATTGGTGTTCAACAGAAAATTTTAACCTTTTCAATATTGTCATTGATCTCCATTTCGAGGTTGAAAGAATCAATGAGCTCAGAGTTTGCACTGATTTCCACACAAATTCTAGCAAAGTTCAACCTACGTTTGGAGGAAGTAAGAGAGTCGGCATGAACAGGACGCCTAACCGCGCTGGAAATGTGGCTTAAACCCTCATATGTCCAAAATTGTAATGGAACATTGAAAAGCTTAATCCATAGGGGGATAGTGGAGTGGTCCTCTTTGAAGAGAGTAAGCCCTGGATTCCAGTTTTTCAAAATTAAGGGTCTTCTAGAGAATAACCAAGGCCCAGCTTCAAACACAGAATTTTTTGCTTCTTCGCTCATGAACTTGAAGAAATAAAATCCCCTGTCATATGCTAGAACTTCAAGAACCCACAGCTTGTCCCAATTTCTGTGAGCAATGAAATTAACAGAGGAGTAGGGAAGCTTCATTTCGATGAAATAACCAACCAACCAGTGTTGCCATTCTAGACTACCCTTTTCTCCTATCTCTTTAGGGGGTTGAACAACCACCCTTTCCTTTTCCCTTCTAGGCTCATAATACTTGAGTTTCATCACCTGAGTTTGAACTTTAGCTCCTTGATCATTTCCAGATTTCACGATATGGCTCCAAGTGAATCTTGGGTTGGGGTTACTTTGGTCTTGTGGTTTAGGTTGACTTGGAACAAAAGGGTGATTAAACTTTGAAGAAACAGAGTCATTTGGGTTGGAAACAAGGGATCGGTTATTTTGACCAGGGGGATCTTTTGGCCGAAATCTTCGGTAACCAACTGACCTTCTTCTATTTCCTTTCCTAGATCCACCGTGGTTTGTAGAGAAGGGTATTCATTGGTGGTAGATGGGTCGGTGCCCTTCTCTTTGAGTGGGGTAATCTTGGGTAAAGGGTTAGGGAATTTAATACCCTTATCTGAGATTGTGGGGAGCAAATCTGGGTGGGTGGGGTCCATAGGAGAAGGTGAGAGTGAAGTAAAGGCAGAGAAATCAAGGGAGGGGAGATTTGAGAAGGATTTCTGGAAGGAGGAGGAAGAAGACGAGAAAGGGGGAAAAGGGTTTCATTTCAAACCTCACTTGCATAAGTTATTACAAAGTTGGACTTATACATGTCTAATTTACTCTTTTAATCTTCCTTTTACAGCTTCCTTCTCACGCCTCTCTCTCTCTGCCTCTCTCCCTTTTAAGTTCCTCTCCTCCCTCTCTTTTATAACCTTTTTTGTTTTGATTTTTTTGGGGGGGGGAGGGGGAGGGGAGAGGGAAAGAATATAAGCATCTGGTCAGGGTGGCCCAAAAATATTTGAAATTTAAAGTGATAATTAAAAATGGTTTTCAATTTTTAATATTAATAAATTTTTATTTAAAATTATTCTTTTTTTAAAGATTAAAAATATTACTATTTTTTATGTTTAAGTTTCGCTACTATATATTTTTATATTGATAATATCTCTTCCATCTAATCTTTTTAATGATAATTAATCTTAATGAAGATTTTATCAATTTTAATTTAAAAAACTTTCTTTTAATTTTAAACTATTATGTTCTACTAATTTTAAATTTTTAAGTATAATAAAAAATCAAACTATTCAAATTTTATGGGTTGGGTTCATGGGCCCAAACTATTCAAATTATTTTTGATTGGGTTTAGAGTTTCATAAGGTTATTTTGGGGTCTAAAATCTTCAAGATCTAGGTTTTATTTTTGACTTAGATTGACTATACATTTGAAATTTTTGGGGCCTTCTTTTTACTTGGGGCCCAAACCCCAGGCTTTGCTGGCCTTATGGTAGGGTCGGGCCTGCATATCATTTGCATCATGATTGTGTTGCTCTATTTTTTGTTTTTAGTTTTAATCATAAATTTACATGAGAAAATGTTGTCATATATTTGATTTTGTTAAATTTGAATCAACGAACTTAATTCATGCTATACCAATTTTGAATAATCAAGGGCTTTTTTTGGCATTTTGATTTATAACATGTTTCAATTATTTTTTCCTCACATTAAACAAATCAATAAAAAAATTTATTCTTCCTACCAAATAAAAAGGAAGGAAATATATACTCTTTCTTTACTCCGTAGATGAAAAATTTATTACTCTCACTTTTTTATCCCTCCCTTTTATCATCGTTCCTACCAAACATGCTATAAATATGAAGCTATTAAACCACATCTCGCAGGGAACAGAAAACTTGGCTCTTATTAATTACCCACAGTGGGATCGTATTTGTACTATTAATTACCCATTGTCGGAATGTATTTATACTATTAATTAAGGAGGATAAAGTGTTTGGTATCCTGATTGTGACGCCCTAAAACCGGGGATTCCGTTGACCTCCCGTCAACTTGCGGCAATACCCGTAATTGTCGCATAACCCGACATCACATCTATCACATCCCGGTAATCGAAATTACAACTCATGCGTAGATCCATGTTTCCTTTATTCATTTAATCCCATTGAGGTTCAACATACTTCAATGTATCTCATTTAAGGTCCATTTGAGTCATTGAAACTAAAGAACACATAGCCCAAAAGTATGACAATGTATTCTTAAAATTTCAAATTTTTGGAAAACCTTCCGGAAGGTTTTACTCACTAGAAAAGTTCTTCCGGAAGGTTTAATAGACCTTTTGGAAGATTTTGTCTTTTGGAATTCAATTTACACTAAATTTCCGGAAGGTTTTGTCTGCTGGACCAAAAGTCTGCATTAACCTTCCAGAAGGTTATTGCGACCTTCCGGAAGGTTTTACCCAAAATTTTATGCCTCTTCAAATTTTCATTTCCAATCCATTCAAAACCTTTCCAAATCCATCCCAAACATATAAATTAATTATTTTCTACATTATACAAGATCCATACAAGTTCTATTACAATTAATCCCTATGATTACAAGCCTATTTACACAATTACATGCTCAAAATAGAATTTTACAATTGTTTTACAAAAACTTGTTTTCAAAAGCCACAAACCGGCTTTTCTTCACCCCGAGGCCTCTAATACGAGTCCTCTCCCAGTACGAATCCCGCACCTGAAATGTTTCCTGTATAGGGTGAGCCAACGCCCAGTAGAGTATTTCCTACAAGGGCTACTCCCCAACCTAAGTGCATATGCAATGTATTATGCAACCAAACACAACCAAAACCCATTCCAATCAACACTTAAGCAAGTCAAGATTGAAATCTAACATACCATGCCATGAGATGAGATGATGGTCAGTCATGCAATTTACCCGAGGCCTTCCTAGCTCTACAACACATGTCATGTCAATGTATATTGACATCGAGTTTTTCTAGCTCCGGCTATTTACCTTCACCTCATGCTATGCAAAGAGTATCAAAATCGGGCTCTCCAAGCCCCCGCCATTTTGTGTTACACACCCAATGGCTAACTAAAAATCTCTGGGTCTTTCTTGTGGTGGGTATTTATGGACTTACACCAACGGTCACCCAATCGATACGAAATTTATGGACTTTCACCAACGGTTCCGCGTACACCAACACATTTTATAGGCTCTAAACACCAACGAAAGTGTGTATCCAAACACCGGGTCTCTCACCCGAGGGATAGTCTAACCCTTTCTTACTACCCCGATCCAGTTTCTTTTTCCATATAACCGTGCGACTCAGCCGGATATTCAATCCAACTTCCTCAAGCCCACCCATCATCCACCTACATGGTGTTTGATGCTAACTATGCACCCACACCTATAAAATGCGATGTCTACATGCATATGCAATGTAATGCATCATTGCTAATTTAACATCATGCCCACATGTAATGAACGCCACATGAACAAAATTAACTACATTAAAACAAGTCTCATGACAATTTATATCTGAAACATATAATCACCAAACTTTCTCTCAATGCTATATATCAAAAATATCATTCTCAACAAAACACAAAATTACAAGCATTTATAACATAAAATATGCTAACAACACACTTAACTCCCATGACATAAAATGTACATATAACATTCCCACATAAACAATCAATTCAATGGATCACATTTATCAATTCACAAGCCTTTTAAGGTAAAATTCGTCTTACCCAATTTCAATACCCATTTCACCAATTCTATATCCATAGGCAAGTGATACATATCTTTCTCAACCTATCCATTACATATAATACCTAAGTGTAAAATAAATCCGAGTAAGAAGGAACCTTACCTCTTGAAACGTGAGGAACACGTTGGGAAAGCTCCAAGACTTCAAATCGTGCTCTAATCCAACCCTTCCCAAAATCTTATTTTTTTGCAACTTTCGGTGAAACTCATCATTTTTAGTGTGGTCGCGTAGCCCTTGGCTAGGAGAACAACTTTGGTTCTTGCCCCGCAGATTGGATTCGAGCTTCATAGCTTCCTAGATCGTAGAGAGAAGTAAATAATTCTCTCCTTTCCTCTCTTCTCTTCTCTATC